CGGCCGCGTCCACGTCGGGCGCCTGGGGGGCGGGGCGCCCCCGCTGCGGGGAGAGGCGCGGAGGCGGGGTGAAGGGCGAAGGGCGCCCCACTGCTACCCCTCCTCCCGCGCTGTTAGTAGCTAGAGACCTGGGGACCCCCGCGGGCTGGCCGCTCCTTCCTGCGCCCGTGCAGTTGCCACAGCGCGGTTCTCTGCCTGCACTGTGGTCAGACTCAGCCTTGACCTGGCCCGCATTCCTGCCTTTTCCCATGGGAGAGGAAGAATAAGTGACACGGAGAGGCTCATCTGTGTCCCCATCCCGCCGCACAGCGGCCTGAAGTGCCCACCCGGGATCAGAGGCCTTCCTGGCCAGGCAGAAGGGAGCCGAGGAGATTAATCTTAGTGTAGGATGGAGGTACCGTGGCGACTAAGTAGGGGCTGAGTGCAGACAGCAGGTGTGCAGTGTGCACCGCGGGCCTGGGAGGAAGATGCTGTGACCCGCTGAATCTCGCTCCTCCGGCCCCAGCCAGTCCCTTCCCTCTTCGGACCTCCATTTTACACTACAAAGAGAGCAATGTTGGGCACAGAGAGGTGCCAGATTTGTGCGGGCTTTACTTGCATTTCAGGACTTCTTCCTCACGGCAGCCCATAAGGTCACACCCTTCTGTCAGCGTTTTGCACAAGCAGAGACTGCAGCTTGGACGTTACCCGATTTCAGCAAGGACCCTGCAGTCAGGATAGGAATCCAGGCTGGTCTGACCCTTAGAGTTGTGCTTGCCTCAACTGTCCACCCACCAAGAGGAAATTCACACCCCCTGGATCCCTTCGAGCTAGAGTCTCCCTTTGGCACCTCCACAGCTGGAGAACAATCCAGAAAAATCTTCAAAAGCAGTAGCCGGGAGGGATCTGGGCCCCCACGCCTATTTTGACCTGGTTGAATGTGTGAACAGACACGGAGCTAATGATTCCAAAGTGCCCGGGGCTTTGGAGACGAGGCAGGCAGCCAGTTAATAAAAAGGTTTTGATGACCCATCCTTTATCACCCTGGGGACATCAATGTGCCTCCCTGTTCTCACACACCCTCCTGCCAACCCATTCTTCTGATCTTAGGGGCAGAGGGCTGCCTGTGCCTACCACTTTCTCCTCATGTGAAAACCTCTGGGACACCAGGCAGCCGAGAGACCCCCATATCTGCCCTGTGACATTCTCTTATCTCAAGTCCCAGTCAGAGTCTTCTGACATGGAGGGGCCACTGCTTTGTCCAAGCAAACCCTCTGCCCCCACCCAAGAAATTCTGCCTTGGGAGCATTTCTTTGTCTTATGGTTTCCCAAAGGCCCCAAAGAGCTCCCTCTTCGGAAGGGAAACACTAACTACAGCTATCCCACACAAGGTCTTCGAGCTCTTGCTGTCCATTCCCTGGGTTTTAGATTCAGAAACTGAGGTGCAAAGTTGAAAGCACTTGTAGCAAATTCACAGCCAACCTAATGCAGTCACAGAACAGCCTTCCTTTCTAATGCCCACCCCACGCTGGGACTCCTAGCCCTGTCCCCCAAGTTTCTGGCTGGTCACCTTGGAAGAGGTGAGAGGGGGCTCAGGGGCTCGCGGTGAGCCGCAGAATCTTACTGCCCATTCCCTCTGCACCCCCAGGGCTGCCCCACTGGGCAAGATGAACCTCCCCAGCCCTGTCTGTGCCCTGGGCTATCTACCTTGCCCTGGGGAAGAGCTCAGCTGGGACCTGACACCTTCCCTCCCCCTCCTTTTTCTCTTTCTTGGCAGCTGATGCCTGCCCAGCCCTGCCTTCTGACCCAGCCCTGCCTTACCACCCTACCAGCTGCAGCTTGGCTCCCAGGAACCCCCGCCCCTTCTCCCCACACAACCAAGGGGCCTGCAGGAACAACTGGAGCCTCCGCAGTACTTTATCACGGGAGTCGACAATAAGGAGAGGGGTCAGTTGGAGGTCACAGAATCTACTCTTGTGCGAGCTGAGAAAGGACGGAGAGGGGTCCTAATGGAGCTGGCCTCTAGTTCAATACTGTGGAAAAGCGAACCTCAGCGCCACCTGCTGGCTTTTCTAGGTAAAACCCGTGGCAGATGTAGGGCATTGGGAGGGGGAGAAGCAGTGCCTGAGAATTTGAGAGGGGAGAGGAAAGGCTGTTAGAGGAGGGCACACGGAGCAGTAGGAGGTTTTGGGGAGCTATGGCTGTGCGGCGCAGCTTTCCCAGGCCTCATACTGCACGGAGTGCTAGGGCACTAGCTCAGTTCTGAGAGAAGCCCGGATACCTGGAGCCTGGCAGCCGGTGGAAGCTCAGCTGGGGACATGAGCTCTGAGGATTTAGAAGCTGATGGGGCGAGCCTGGAAGGGGGCCATCAGCATGGGTTACCTTATGTACACCATCTGTACTCCGTCTCTTAGCGCAGACCCTCACACACAGTAGGTGCTCAGTAAATGTTGACTGTACAGAATAAATTATTTTTTTCAACTTTTTTTTTTACTGAGCAAGCTATTAAGTAACAGGCTCTGGGCAACATTTTATAAATACAGCAGTGAAAGTGAATGCATGAAAATAAATAAATAAATAAATAAAAAAGAAAGTGAATGCATGAACAGGGACCTGGTTGTGGCTAAAAGGTGAGTCTGTGTCCTGTTAAGCTTTGCTCACTGACCTGCAATCAGAGGGCTTCACGGAACCTCCCCCAGGGCTGCTGTCACATACTGGTTCCTTGTGGAACCATCACATCTGGACCTTAAGTATCAAGAGCTGTCTGGAGTCTCAGCACCTAACTCAGACAACAGGTGCCCCAGCTAGATAGCCAGGTAACCATTTAGCATAAAAAGGCTTCCTGGGCTTGGTGGCTCAAATGTACAATCCCAGCACTCAGGAGCCTGAGGCAGGAGGATCGTTACAAGTTCAAGCCCAGCTTGGGTGACAAAGTGAGCTTAAGATCTGCCTGAACTACACAGTGAGAGAGAACCTGTCTCAACAAATACAAAATCAAAAGCTTGCCTGGCAAGCGCAAGGTCCTGAGTTCAATCCCTGGTACTGGGGGAAAAAAAATCAGAAAAATTCTGAGAGTCAGGTGAGAACTAATGAAGAAAGGGTGGCACAGAGGGGAAAAGGGTCATCAGAGCCTCAAGGCCCAGGTGGATGTAGAAGCAAAGCAGGACATGTAACACTGGGGCACCAGGGAGTAACTAGAGGCTATGTATGGCCTGAGACACTGGTAACAGGAGGAGTAGAACTAGTATTGAGAGACAAGGGGCCAGGGAGATGGCTCAGTAAAATAAGCGCTTGCCTGGCAAATGCAAGGGCCTGAGTTCAATCCCCAGTTCCGCAAAAAAAAAAAAAAGAAAGAAAGAAAAGAAAAGACTTCAAGTTTGCAAGAGAATTTGGAAGGTCTTTATTCATTCAACAAGCATCCACTGAGCATCCACTAAGTGCCAGGTGCTATGTTAGAGCCTGGGGACAGAGATGTGAACACAACAAGCTGTGGAGAGCTATGAAAAGAAGATGTCACAATGTGGAGATGGCTGGGTGGCGTGCTGTTAGGTAGTGTGGTCTGAGGAGCTGTTGTCTAAACTAAAACCTCAAGAAGGAGAAAGGCAGATGTAACACATCTGAGGAAAAGTGCTCTAGCTGCAGGGCAGCAAGTACAAAGGTCCTGGGACAGGCGTAAGTACGGCAGGGGCTGGTTTCTTTCGCTCCGAGCTCTTCCAGCATGATGTCAGAAACAGGTCAGTTGGAGCTGAATAGCCCCAGGCTCAAGGTGTAGGAGAGAGTTTAGGTCAGTTTCACTGGCAATGAGAACCTCCCAGAAGTGGAGCTGCGATGTGGTAGTTATATATTATGCGCTTTTATTTATTTAGGCTGGGCTTTCTTAAAATTTTTTAATTTTATTTATTTATTTATTTATTTATTTATTTTTGTATTTTGGGGAAGGGTCTACAGGGTTTTCATAGTCTCACTACTAGATTGAATTCATAGTGATTCTCCTGTTTACAGCTTCCCAAGAGCTGGGATTACAGGCCTACCGCCGCCACCATGCCCAGTCTCAATTTCCCTCAGCAGGCCCTGAGGGTGGGGCGGGCACGGCAGGCCTGGCCCCTGCACTTGCTTGCAGAAGGCTTTAATCTGATGAGCTATTTGGCCGGCCCTAACAGGCTGGTCTTGAACTATGTAGCCCAGCTAGCCTTCAACTCACAGCAATCTTCCTGCCTAGCCTCCCCACTGCTGGGATTATGAGGAGTTTGTGCTGCTACTTCTGGCTGGATTCACACTTCAGCAGTCTCACTTTGCCTGCTCCAGGGTGTGGCCCAGACTGCAGAAAACAGGAGTGGGCCAGGTGACCCGTGAAGCAGCAAGGAGGCTGCTGCGGTCAAAGGGCCAGAGATGATGGGGTATTGCAGTGACAACAGACACCTGAGCCAAATTGTGGAGAGCGTGGGACACCAGCTTGCAGGCGTGAGGAGAGAAGAGCAGGCGCGGGAGCAGGGCAGAGCTTGCGCTTCTAAATCCAGATTCTGAAGCCAGAAGCACCTGGCTGAATGGTGCTGAGCCTGCAGCTCCGCCTCTGCTCCTCCAGTGCGTGCCTTGGAAAGGAAGCCGGAATAACAGCGAGGGCAGGGAGGAGGGGCGGGGGGGGGCGGCGGGGATCAGAGGCATCTAATCAGGCAAAGGAGACCCCTTCCGATGCGGGCGTGAAGGGAGGCGCCCACCAGGCAGCGCTCAGGGCTTGGGAATCTTGCCCGGTGTCACAAAGCCAGACTGT